GAGCCCACTGGTGCGGGGTGCAGTGCAGGGGGGCTGTGGGCAGTGCAGAGCCCACTGGTGCGGGGTGCAGTGCAGGGGGGCTGTGGGCAGTGCAGAGCCCACTGGTGTGGGGTGCAGTGCAGGGGGGGCTGTGGGCAGTGCAGAGCCCACTGGTGCAGGGTGCAGTGCATGGGGCTGCGGGTCCCAGAGCCAGGGCAGGATGGGGAGACGTCTCCTGTTCCCAGGCCTTCCAAGCGGCTCTGCAGACCCAGTGGAGCTGGATGCTCCAGCTGTGCTGCTGCATCGAGGCCCACCTGAAGGAGAACACCGCCTACTTCCAGGTAAGGGCTGCGGGCAGCAGGCGTGCAGGGCTGCACACTGTCCCTGCGCACAGCCCCGTCCCCGGGGCCAGGGCGCATGCCGTGCTCACCTCCTCTCCCTGGGCTGCTCTAGTTCTTCGCCGACGTGAAGGAGGCTGAGGACTTCCTCAGGAAGATGCAGGAGAACATGAAAAAGAAATACTCCTGCGACCGCAGCATCACGGTCACACGCCTGGAGGACCTGCTGCAGGACTCCCTTGTGAGCATCCCTTGAACCTTGTACAGGGTCCCAGGGGTGACCCCAACATGTGCACCCCACTGCTGGGCCCCAGGGGTGACCCCACATGTGCACCCTGCTGCCTTGTACAGGGTCCCAGGGGTGACCCCTGACATGTGCACCCCACTGCCGGGCCCCAGGGGTGACCCCACATGTGCACCCTGCTGCCTTGTTCAGGGTCCCAGGGGTGACCCCTGACATGTGCACCCCACTGCTGGGCCCCAGGGGTGACCCCACATGTGCACCCCACTGCAGGGCTCCAGGGGCAACCCCAACATTTGTACCCCACTGCAGGGCTCCAGGGGTGACCCCCACATGTGCACCCTGCTGCACAGCCCCAGGGGTGACTCCCATGTGTGCACCCCACTGCAAAACCTCAGGGGCGAGCCCCCCATCATGTGCTCCCCGTGGGCCCCTGGCCCGCAGCTGGGCTCCCCCTATGCCTCCCCTCCTGACCCAGGGCCAGGGACCCCCTGGCAGGGTCCCGCTCGTGGACACCCCTCACGGGGTGCATGCTTCTGCAGGACGAGAAGGAGCAGCTCGCCGAGTACCAGGGGCACCTGGCCGGGCTGGCCAAGCTGGAGGTGCGAGCGCAGCGTGGGGCCGGGCCGGGGGCTGCTGGGGGACGCCAGGGCCACGGCGTGGGGGGACGAGTCCCCGTGGGGTCCTGCGGGCTCATGATGCCCTCGTGCCCCCCCAGATCACAGTGCACAAGAACGATGAGTGTGCCCTGCTCAGCAACGCCCAGCCCTACAAGTGGAAGGTGCTCAGCGCCGCCGGCAGCGAGTCCATAGTGCCCTCCGTGTGCTTCCTCGTGCCCCCGCCCAACCGGGAGGCGCTGGATGCCGTGCACAGGTGAGCGTGAGGGTGATTGGGACCGTGCTCCTCCCTGGGCTCTGCTGCCCCGTCCTCACCTCCCTGCTGCTCTCATGTGCTGCCATGGGGTCCCGCGTGGGGCTGGCCCTGCCATCCTCTCCCCTTGCCCCGTCTCCCTGCTCATGCTGCCTCTCCCCAGGCTGGAGGCCACCCATCAGCACCTCCTCACACTCTGGCACCAACTGCACGTGGACATGAAGAGCCTCCTGTCCTGGCAGTATCTGATCCGGGACATCCAGCAGATCCAGTCCTGGTCACACGTTACGGTGAGTCTGGCTCTGCCTGGCATGGGGCAGCGCGGTGCCTGGAGCGGGACCTGCGGCAGTGTGCGTTCCTGGGGCACGGGAGCAGGACCCACGGCAGTGTGCATTGCTGGGGAGTGGGAGCAGGACCCACGGCAGTGTGCCTTCCTGGGACGCAGGAGCAGGATCTGCAGCAGAGTGCATTCCTGGGGCGTGGGAGCAGGACCCACAGCAGTGTGCATTCCTGGGGCATGGGACTGGGATCAGCAGCAGTGTGCATTCCTGGGACGTAGGAGCAGGATCTGCAGCAGTGTGCATCCCTGGGGCACGGGCGCAGGATCTGCAGCAGTGTGCATCCCTGGGGCACGGGCGCAGGATCTGCAGCAGTGTGCATCCCTGGGGCACGGGCGCAGGATCTGCAGCAGTGTGCATCCCTGGGGCACGGGCGCAGGATCTGCAGCAGTGTGCATCCCTGGGGCACGGGCGCAGGATCTGCAGCAGTGTGCATCCCTGGGGCACGGGCGCAGGATCTGCAGCAGTGTGCATCCCTGGGGCACGGGCGCAGGATCTGCAGCAGTGTGCATCCCTGGGGCACGGGAGCAGGACCTGCAGCAGTGTGCTTTCCCAGGGCGTGGGACTGGGATCAGCAGCAGTGTGCATTCCTGGGACGTAGGAGCAGGAACTACAGCAGTGTGCATTCCTGGGGCGTGGGAGCAGGACCCACAGCAGTGTGCATTCCTGGGGCATGGGACTGGGATCAGCAGCAGTGTGCATTCCTGGGACGTAGGAGCAGGATCTGCAGCAGTGTGCATCCCTGGGGCACGGGAGCAGGATCTGCAGCAGTGTGCATCCCTGGGGCACGGGAGCAGGACCTGCAGCAGTGTGCTTTCCCAGGGCGTGGGACTGGGATCAGCAGCAGTGTGCATTCCTGGGGTGCGGGAGCGGGACCTGCAGTGGCATGCGGCCCCAGGGTGCAAGAGCGGGCGCTTTGCGTGGGGCTGACGGTGCGCTGCCTCCCCAGTTCCGCACCATGCAGGTGGACGAGTACCGGCAGATCCTGCGCACCCTGGAGACGCACTACCAGGATTTCATGCGCGACAGCCAGGACTCCCAGAGCTTCCAGCCCGACGACCGGCTGCACATAGAGCGCGAGTACAACGCCTGCGTCCAGAAGTACGAGCTGCTGCTGCGCAGCCAGGAGAAAGGTGAGCAGCGGCCCTGCGGGTGATCTAGGGGCTGCAGTTGCACAGCCAGGGACCGGCAGTGCCGTGGGCCGGCGGGCGAGAAAGGCCGTGTGCCGAGGCTGCGCACTGCCCAGGACTGCTGCTGTGGCAGGGCGATGCCCACGGGATAGGTGGCTTAACTGTCTGCTACTCCTCCTGGGTGGGCTATGCTGCTGCCCCGTTCCCTGGCCCCAGAGACGCGGGCAGGGGCAACCAGAGCAGGCTGTTGGCAGGGCACTCGCTAACCCGGGCCCTGGCGTCCCTGCAGGAGAGCAGGACGAGTCCCTGTGCAAGAACTACATCTCCCAGCTGAAGGACATCCGGCTGCAGCTGGAGAGCTGTGAGACCCGCACCATCCACAAGATTCGCCTGCCCCTCGAGAAGGACCCGGTCAAGGAGTGTGCCCAGCGCATCACCGAGCAGCAGGTATCAGCACACACATGAACGTGCACGTGCAGGCGTGCAACGCACATACATGGGGGCTTCTGCACCCAAGCCATGGCTGGTGTCTGCCTACCTGTGATTGCACCTGTGAACAGCAAACCTTCACCGTTACCTGCTCAGCTCCTCCTTGTCCTGGGTACCATTGGGCAGCTGGAGACTGCTCATCCCGCCACAGTGGTGTGGGTTGATTTGGACTCAGCTCTCTGTGATCCCTGCAGCTGGAGCTAGCGAGCTGCTCCCAACAGGCCTGGCTGGCAGGACAGTGTGTGTGGCATGGCGTTGGCATAGGCGATCAGCCCTGGGCTAGGCGAGGGGCAGGGCTCGACCCCAAACTGCAGCTGGCTGGAGCCAGACACAGAGGTTGCATAGGGCAGCACTTGGAGTAATGGACCCTCCTTTCCCTGCAGCAAATCCACCTGGAGCTGGAGGGCATCAAGAAGAACTTGGACAAGGTCAGCGAGAAGACGGAGAAGGTGCTGGCCCAGCCAGAGCAGGCCAGCTCAGCCCCTGTCTTGCGCTCGGAGCTGGAGATCACCTTGCAGAAGATGGACCAGGTGTACAGCCTCTCCAGCATCTACCTGGAAAAGTGAGCGCCCAACCCCTGTGTGGCTCTGTGCTATGTCCCGTTGTTGTCCTGGGTGGGGGGCAAAACACTGCATCAGCTGGGGTGAGCCTGGTGCAACCGGGGGTTCGATTGAAGGTCTGGAGGCTGCTGTATGTGTCCTAGTGTCTTTCCATTCCTGCAGATTCCCTACCTGCTCCCTTCTCACCTCTCGCATGCTGGGCAGCACCTTGTTGCCTGCCCAGGCTCTGGGCACCCTCTGAGTCTTTCTCCTCGCTCCTTAGGCTGAAGACTATCAACCTGGTGATCCGCAGCACACAGGGGGCAGAAGAGCTGGTCAAGAAGTACGAGGACCAGCTGAAGAATGTGCAGACTGTGCCGTCCGACCTCAAGGAACTGGAGGCCAGCAAGGCCGAGCTGAAGGTAACGTCTGGGGCTGGGCAGCACCGTGCAGGGAGCGGGCCGGGCAGGTGGCCAGGGCTGGGTCGGGACCTGGGGCTGACCTGTGCTCTGTGCTGCAGCGGCTGCGTGCGCAGGTGGAGGGGCATCAGCCCCTCTTCAGCACTCTGGAAACCGACCTGAGCAAGGCTAAGGATGTCAACGAGCGGATGGTGAGAGGCCACAGCGAGCGGGACGTGGACCTGGATCGCTACCGGGAGAAAGTTCAGCAGCTGCTGGAGCGCTGGCAGGCCATCCTGACCCAGATCGACCTGCGCCAGCGTGAGCTGGACCAGCTGGGCCGCCAGTTGCGGTACTACCGCGAGAGCTGCGATGGGCTGCTCCAGTGGATCCAGGACGCCAAGCAGCGGCAGGAGAAAATCCAGGCAGTGCCCATCACAGACAGCAAGACCGTGCGGGAGCAGCTCCTGCAGGAGAAGGTAGCGCCCACGCAGGGCGAGGACGGGTTGGCATGGTCGGTGCTGCGGCAGGGTGGGTGGCGAGTGTGGGGCTCTAGCTCACAGCCTGTGTATTTCCCCAGAAACTCTTGGAAGAGTGCGATCGCAATAAGGAGAAGGTGGAGGAGTGCCAGCGCTATGCCAAGCAGTACATAGATGCCATCAAGGTGTGCCCACTTGCCCTGTGTGCCTACTTGGGCTTGGTCCCCTGGGTAGCAGCCTGGGAAGAGCTGAGGCAGGTGTGGGGCTGGGGAGAGGCAGCCCCGTGCCAGGCACGTGCCAAAGGGCGTGGGGGGCTTGCTGGATCTGGCGGTGGGGAGGGGGCAGGAACAGGCCCCAGAGCCCCTGTGTGCCATGGCTTGCTGATGACACCTCTCCCTGGCAGGATTACGAGCTGCAGCTGGTGACCTTCAAGGCACAGGTGGAGCCGGTGGCTTCTCCTGCCAAGAAGCCCAAAGTGCAGTCTGCGTCTGACAGCATCATCCAGGAGGTGAGCTGGGGGGCCCCCTGAGCGCATGGGCCTGAGTTTCTCCAGACAGGACCCGGGCAGAGTCCCTTGAGGCGCCTGAGCCCAAGGAGCTCACCCGCATTGGGAGCAGCGTGCTGCAGCTCTTCCCTGGAGGGGGGGCTTGCGGAGGGGCTGCCGTGCCGGCGTGCCCTTGGGTTGGCCACACCAGTGCCTGGGTGCCAGGAGGTGAGTGGGCTGGTGCTGGCAACCAGCAGGTGGGGAGGCAGCAGCTCTGGGCACGTTCCTCTGCTGACCTATGCCGTTTCCAAAAAGAAAAACTTCTTTACTCTGAGAGTAACAGAGCGCTGGAGCAGGTTGCCCAGAGAGGTTGTTGAGTCTCCATCCTGGGAGATACTCAAAAGCTGTCTCGACAGGGTCCTGGGTGGCCTGTTGTAGGTGACCCTGCTTGAACAGGGTGGGTTGGACTAGATCTCCAGAGGTCCCTTCCAACCTCAACCGTTCTGTGGTTCTGTGATTGTGACGACAGTATGTGGACTTGCGAACACGGTACAGCGAGCTGCCCACGCTCACCAGCCAGTACATCAAGTGAGACCCTGAGGAGGCTGGAGGAGGAGGAGGTAGGGGAGTGGCGTGGGGGCACACGGGGGTGGCATGGCTCCGGCTGCATTTTCTCTCCCTCATAACAGCGGGGAACATTGTTCATGATGACTGCCAGCCCCCCCATCACTAACGCTGGCCCATGGCCTCTAACCCCACTCTGGTCAGGGCTTCCGGGACCGAAGCTTTTGGCTTTGGATGCAGCAAATTTCTGAGCAGAGAGGGCCGGCTGGGCCCAGCTGGGGTGGTACGCAGAGCTGGCTCCCAGGAGCTGCCGGGGTCGCCCGGGCTCTGGTGTGACTGGTGTTAGGAGGCACTTCCCAGATACACATAGTGCAATCAGCGTCTGCCTTCAGCATGAAGCTGTGCTCGGGCGCCGCGGGACCTGGTCTCCTCGGTTGTTCTGTCTTGGTAACCTTTCTAACTCTTGGTTTCTGCCCTTGGAAGTCAAGCCGCTTTGCCAGTGCTTTGTCTTGGGGGATGTTTGTGTTGGTGGGGATCTAATGGAGGGTAAAAAACCAGGATGACTCTGGCATCCCTGCACCAGGTACTCACTCTGCGCATGCCCCCCTCCTCACAGCACCCCTCCACCTCACCACATGGCCACAAGCAGCCTGCGCGCCCAGCACCTGCTCACTGCACCCTGCTTCCCTGCAACGAGCAGGGCACGCCATCCCCAGGGCACCCTCGGCCTCACCTCGCCTCTCTTCTCTCCTGGCCTTTGCTGCACCTTTTAGGGTGGCATGAGGGGACTCTCAGTCCGGTGGGGATGGGGGTTGAGCTCACCCCGCACGTGCACCCGCCTCGCTCTTGGTGCATGCAACACAAGTGCTCTGCGACACGGGCCGGCAGGAGGCTGCAGCCACTTCCTCTGCTCCTTGGAGAGATGCACGAGCAGTGTCAGCCACTCACTCTGCTGGTTCTGCAGAGAGCTGGGGCAGGGAGGCATTCACAGTGGCCCCAAGACATCCCTGCTCCTGGCTGTAGACAGCCAGCCCGCCTGGGTTGTCTGGAGCTGTCCAGCGAGGGATTCAGACCCAGCCAGGGCAGCAAAAGTTTGGAGCTTGGATTGCTCTCCACATCGTCAAGGCTTTCCCAGCAGGGAAAGGTCCATCTGGCACCTCCTCCACCACCTGCTCTTTTCTATCCTGTTGCATCTTGGTACTGCAGCTGGGTTTCTCGTGTCCCCACCGTGATGGCTCTCTGCGCTGGCCCCTCTTTCTTGCACAGGGAACCCTGGAGAGAGCAAGATAAGGCTCCCTTTTGCAGGAAGGCGTGTGCACAGGGCTGGGACAGGGGCTCTCCCCAGACTGCAGTGGGCATGGTGGTGGTGTGCAAGCTGCTAGCATCCATCTCCATCGCCTCGGGCTGTGCTCGTGCTCCATTCCTTGTTTGTGGTACGTGGGTCATCCTGCTTCCTGCGCTGCTGTCTTGGTCCTGTCACCTGTCTCCCTGCGCTGTGCTAAGTGAGATACAGTAGTTGTGTGTCCCCTGTCTGCCATACGTCTTCTGGAAGCTGGCGTCACCGCCTCTAGCTCGTGGGGAGACCCAGGGACCTGAAGCCATTCCATGCGCATCCTCCAGCCCTTCTGCCCTGGACCATCCCGTGTCTCGGTGGCGTGTGGTTGTGGTTGGCGTTTACGCCGTGGCTCGGTCGTATTTGTTGTGATTTCTCTCTTCCCCTTCTCTATTTTCTCTGCACTCTCTTCCCCCTCCAGAAAGCAGCCGAGAAGCTGAAGGAGGAGGAGAGGAAGCGGCTGGCGGAGGTGGAGGCCCAGCTGGAGAAGCAGAGGCAGCTGGCTGAGGCCCATGCCAAAGCCAAGGCACAGGCAGAGGCGGAGGCGCGGGAGCTGCAGCTCTGCATGCAGGAGGAGGTCACCCGGCGGGAGGTGGTGGCTGTGGATGCCGAGCAGCAGAAGCAGAACATCCAGCAGGAGCTGATGCAGCTGCGGCAGAACTCTGACCTCCAGATCAAGTCCAAGGTCAAACTCATTGAGGAAGCCGAGTACAACCGCAAGAAGGTGGAGGAGGAGATCCGCCTCATCCGCCTCCAGCTGGAGAGCACTGAGAAGCAGCGGACCAGTGCTGAGACAGAGCTGCAGGAGCTGCGGGCACGTGCCGAGGAGGCCGAGCGGCAGAAGAAGCAGGCACAGGAGGAGGCCGAGCGCCTGCGCCGGCAAGTCAAGGACGAGAGCCAGAAGAAGCGGGAGGCAGAGGAAGAGCTGAAGCGCAAGGTGCAGGCGGAGAAGGATAGCTGGAGAGCACTGAGAAGCAGCGGACCAGTGCTGAGACAGAGCTGCAGGAGCTGCGGGCACGTGCCGAGGAGGCCGAGCGGCAGAAGAAGCAGGCACAGGAGGAGGCCGAGCGCCTGCGCCGGCAAGTCAAGGACGAGAGCCAGAAGAAGCGGGAGGCAGAGGAAGAGCTGAAGCGCAAGGTGCAGGCGGAGAAGGATGCAGCCCGGGAGAAGCAGAAGGCGATGGCAGACCTGGAGAAGCTGCGGCTGCAGGCGGAGGAGGCCGAGCGGCGGATGCGGCAGGCAGAGCTGGAGAAGGAGCGGCAGATCCAGGTGGCGCAGGAGGTGGCTCAGCGGAGCGCCGAGGCCGAGCTACAGAGCAAGCGGCTGTCCTTTGCAGAGAAGACGGAG